TATTTCCATTCATAATATAATTTTTTTGTGCGCACTTTATTGGTTTATCTAAATTGTGAATCGAAATTATCACTCTACCAGGGTTATTCAAAATTTAATAAAAACCCAGGTGCTCTTAAAAGTGGTCCTTATTTCGTTTTGTGTAGTTTATATCATATCAGTTGTCTTTGCGCTATTTAATTTTAAAATTGCATTGAGCAAGCCTCATCATTGATATAAAAAGAAACCAGGACAGATTAAATTTAGGGTAGGTGATGTAAATGCATTTTTAAACTTGAATAGCGTAAAAACAGCTGAACCAAATATTAACATTGTTACGGGATGATTTTTCCCGCACCAAAATAAAAGGAAATAAGCTTATTCACCTCTCTAAGTAGCATACCTTCCTCAAGCCACTGTTTTCTATCCAATAGTTGTAGCCACACTTTTCATCAAACTTTTCATTCTTCCCAGAATCATTGAGTTAGAGGTTTATTAATGGAATTGATTTCCTGTTAGTACGGTTACAATAAATAGACAATTAATTTATTAACAAACAAAATCACAATATTTACACTAGAACAGCTGATTGTCTGATCCGAGTAGATTGTCTAGATTGACAGCGCTCCAAATAGGGTCAATGACCGGTACTAACTTAATCTGAATAAGTCCCATGCCCCAACTACCATCAAAATTCCGTAGTACCTTCCACCTTGCAGTTTTGACAGAGACTTTTTTAAGGACATTGCAGGGACAAGCAGAGGTCATTCAGGTCGAGGACTTTCCACGATTAAGTGTTCGGGAAGACTCCTCAGGCACATTTTGCCGATTTTCTGAGTTGTATAGTTTTCGCTTATAGATCTAGGGTGGCTAATCCGTTATTTTAGCACCCAATCGCCTTGTGCGGATTTTTTTTGTGAGTCGAATAAGAGCAACGTGACCAATTGTTTGTTCCTAAAGGCCAAAGTAATTTTGGTAAGTGGTTTTTCTTATTAATCTTCTCTGTGTTTCTCTATTTCCTATGTAAAAGCATAGTTTTCTGTTAATTATACGGTCAAATTCCGAATATCGGACAAAACCTACCTATTGCTCTACGCTCTGTCTCATAACGTCCATTTGTTTCAGGCCTTTAATCTTCACCTTTAGACGTTACGCTTTATTCGTCACCTTTTGTTCGTCACGCTTAGTCCTTAACTTGAGTAAAGAGTTAGACGTTGAGCTTACTGTATGTTTCAAGTAGTACCGCCAATCTTCAGCCTCCTCTGGACCATTGGAAACTTTAGTGACTCCTAGTTACTGAACTTCAGTGCCCAGGGCCAGTTGTTTCTTGTCGCGATCCTGATCCAGTTCCAGGCCATCGGAAACATTGGGAGATATTGATTCAATCCTTCAGGTTCCCCCTCAAGAGGTTTAGGGACTACTCAGGGTTGATAAGTGTGTTGTATTGTCTTAATATCAAACCTTACCAACCCCTTGTTGGAGTAATCACCACAACAACGCAGTTCTACTATAATATTAAATTACCCTTCAGATTAGATGTTGTTATTTCAGTTTCAATTAATTATTACCTTTGTTATATGAAATTTACCATTCAGGTTATGTACTGTTAGGTATAGTACGCGCAACAATATACCGTTGACTCTTACTGCAATAAATTAACACCCATTATCCATTGACCAAGTAATAAATCATAAAACCCCAAATTTAAACCTTTTTCGAGCAGAGCCGGATCCTCAGGTATTATCACAAATTCTATTTATAACAGGTAGGTATGTTACATACCTGATGACCTAGATTATTCTGAGTTTTGAGAATATCTATGTCTATATTGGTATATCAGGTCAAAATAACCAAAATATAAATAGTAGCAACTGACTTTATAATTTTAGTTTTTAGTAGTCTTCCAGAGAGTAGTTTTCAGTTGGACTTATCTGTGGTATTATGTGGCGTCCTTTTGAGTGTACTGATAGGGGGGCATCTTCAAGTGACATTTTTCGGAGAAAGCATTTATCTATCGATGCCAAACAAATAATTAAAAATGTGTATCAATCTTTGTTGAGTAGAAATTTTAATTCAACGAACGCATTAGCAGAGACGTCTACTTTAACAAAAACTCCTTTATCTTCGGTAAGAGACATAGTACTTAAACCTGTTAATCCTAGAAAAAAACGGAGTGATTCTGGCACATTTAGAAGCATTGACCAAAATGACATAGATCTATTGAGAAGGAAGATTTATCAAATGTATGAGGAACAAACTGTACCGACTTTGATTTCCCTCAGAAAACGGCTGTTAAAAGATGAAACAAATATCTCTTGTATCTCCAATTATCTTAAATTATGAAAATAAATAATGTGGTTGGTTGGTATAAAGGTACCTAAATGTTTAAGCCGACCCTGATTCCATTTATTGAGCTTTGAAGAGGTTGGGGCCTATACAATAGGGTCTAATCCAGGTAGTTAATTTATTGCAGTAGGAGTCAACGGTATATTGTTGCGCGTACTATACTTCAATTTTAAGTATTTATCCATACCTTCCATATTATTCCATATTATTAAATTTGCCCCCAGGCTATATATTGTTTCTTCAAGTTTAATTAATGATCTATATTTCTCTAATATCCCATAAATACATGCTGCACTGAATACAGGAAAATACTTGTACACTGGGGTTAAATGGCCATTTACGAAGGTACTGCATTAAGTGAGCTTATTTATTAATTAATATTTCAGGTATTATTGTCGTTAATTGTTATTACTTTTTATTTTTTTTATTTAGGGACTCAAGTTGAGTATAATTAATAATTATTATAAATACTATTGTAAGAACATATGGTTAGACGATTTCTTTTCTTGTTCTGTTCTGGTTCCAGTGTAAATAATTTTCAGTGTTCCAGGGCCATCGAAAAAATCACTCCGAACCTGCTCTAGAGTCAAGCTGTTCTGGTTCTAATTAAAACCCGTACCTGATTGTAGCAAAGCGTTTCACTTTTGTCCTTCCTTCTTGTTTACGTTTATATTTCAGGTTGTGTTGCTATAGGTCCGTAGAAGTTTCCTGCTTTCGTTATATCGGTTGGTTTCGTGTACTACAGGTGTTAATACCCACGGGCAATTAGTGTCCCTCGGGCCGAAGGCCCTCGGGACACAAACTTTGCCCTTTACCCTCATAATTCCCTTGATACATAAATAACTATTATGTGGATAACATTATTTTAAGTAGTACAAATTTAAAACTGATTGGAAAATACAGAAATGAATTAATGATGAATTTTGAGATTTGAGAATTTTTTTCTGACAGGGAACAGGGAATTTTGGAAATAAATCAAGAAAGATATTTACAGGGACTTTCAAAGATTTAATTTTCAAATTTGTAGATCATGTTTAACTCCAATAGATCCAAAACTGAAAATGGACTTGAATAAAAATAACATGAATGGAAATAAACCTGATTGGATGTTTGATGTTTTTAATGTTAGGAACAAAAGATCAGATATAATTTATACGGTAAACTATTTTAGTAGATTCCAAGATACAAATTCAGAGGAAGTTTGGATTGGTCCAAAAAGAGTGCTTAGATATTTGAAGGGAACAATAAAGGTATGTTCAAAGTATGAAAGGAAGATGAATGAATTGCCATGGTTGTCACATTGACTCAGATTGGGCAGGAGATTCAAATGATAGAAAGTCAGTGTCACGGCACAGCTTGTTAGGGTATGTCATTTAAGTTTTTGGTGACACAGTAACTTGGGTGACAAAGAAATAAAAGTTTTGTTGCATTATCTAGTACTGAAGCAGAGCTAGTGGCTTTATGTGCTGCTGTCCAGGATTCATTGTGATTTTAAAGACTGTCCAAGAGAAGCGCATCACCGTCAATGGTAGCTGTCATTGTCAGCCCCGGACTTATCGAGAAAAGAGGAAGATTTTCTAGTGGAACTCTGACGTATGGTAGATCAAAGAGGCCTAAGACAGTCAATTATCTTTATACAGGGTTTTTGTTTTTCCGAAAACCTTATTTCGCGCTCGGGGAATTTATCGTTTCTTTCTTCGTGCCCGAATACAGCTTGCACCAACAACACTCAGGGGGCTCGTCCACTGGCCACCTAAAGTGATCCCGATAGTGAGGGGACCCACGCAAAGTGTTGTCAGCCTAATACGCGCTCTTAGGAGCAGGGTAAGCAAGTCACTACACTTCTGTCGAACAAAATGAGGAGAGAATTCTTCGTTTTCTCTGGCTCAGAGAACAATGGCAGACAGGTGAGATGATGTCTCGATCACTGTCCGTAGAGGCTAGATCAAAGAAGCCTCAGACAGTCAATGACCTTTATACAGGGTTTTTGTTTTCCCGAAAACCTTATTTCGCGCTCGAGGAATTTATCGTTGGCTCTCTCGTTTCCTTCTCCGTGTCCGAATATAGCTCGCATCAACAACACTCAGGGGGCTCGTCCACTGGCCACCTAAAGTGATCCCGATAGTGCGGGGACCCACGCAAAGTGTTGTCAGCCTAATACGCGCTCTTAGGAGCAGGGTAAGCAAGTCACTACACTTCTGTCGAACAAAATGAGGAGAGAATTCTTTGTTTTCTCTGGCTCAGAGAACAAGGGCAGACAGGTGAGATGACGTCTCGATCACTGTCCGTAGAGAGCTAACTGCCTTGATGTTATATTTCATTTTGTGTCAATTTAAGACCAAAACATTATTCGCTAGGCCACAATATATTTTCTTTCCTGATGTCTGATTGAATAATTATCGCTGAGGTTACTTGGGGAAAAGCTAAAATATGTTCGGTATAATTGAAAACGTTTCAGACAAATTAAATTGGATTTGTTTGGTTTAATGTTTCCCAAGTCGACTTGTGGCACCCGATATCGATTTGAGGTTTTCTGCAATTAATAGAACATTGGTTTAAAGAGTAATTTGTATGAACTTTAAAAATAAAATCGATGTTGTTCCAAGCTTTATACCCACAAAAAAAAGTATAGAGTATTCCCTGCAGTTGTTTTATGACATCAGAGAGAGGATCGGGGAAAATTTAATTTTACGACTCTTGTAAAAAGGGCAAAATCTCAAAGGGACATTAAAGTGGGCGAGAAAATTCTCCGTGTTTCGAGTTTTATCTTGATGTTTACTGACAGTAAAAATAAACGTCAAAGTAAAAATTTTCGGCAAAATGTCCAGACATTACAGCGCAAATCAGTACGAAGTACCTTTTAAACCCAGTTATCTGCGTAACTGGGAAGTGCCCAAATACCATTGCGGTAAACCGCGTTCTAGAAAGTGCATAACCACGATTATTTCTAATCCCAAAGGCCACTTGTTACCCAGAATACCTAGATCATCCACGTGCAAACCTTTCGGAGACTATGTTGGTAAGAGATGAAATATTTATTCAAAACATAAAAAAAAAAATCTATTATAGGAACATGGCATTTACCAAATAAAATCACTCGTGAGTTGGCCAATAAGCTTAACGGAAGTGCCGAATGGCCAATCTTGAAGCAAAAATGTCGTCAAGATATTTCCGAAATTTGTAAAAAACAAGATCATGCTACTACAACAGCACAACAAAAACTCGAAGAACAAACTAAGAAATCAGAAAAACAAATCAAAGAAGATGAATTAGTTCTTTGTCCAATCCATGGTTGGGCCAAAAGGGCTTCGGAAACTGAATAAACGCAAAATTTGAGTTTTATATGTTCCAGGAACAAGGAAACATAATATAAAAAGAAATTCTTATCATCACAATCGATTTTATTATTCGAGCAAGCTCTGTCGCTCCCTGCAGGTCTCCCCTCTCGACTCCTTTTATTCTCGCTCCTGTCAAAAGTGTCATTCATGCGGAAATAATTTCCATTTGCTTTTACGAGTGTGTTTTTACCGGTTTTAGTTTTGTCACGTACCAACACATTTTCCTGTTTCGTAGGTATAAAATATAAAATTTTTACGACGTCACTGATAATGTTTATTGATCAGTCTATATACGAATGAATGGTAATTTGGAAATTTAAACCTGTACAATATGATTCAGAAAAAGTAATAAATCCTCTTGTTAAAATTTTCCATTGAAAGGCTCGAGGCCGGGCGCCCATCTGGATATATCGCTTTAAAGTAATAATATAGGGGCGCTTCCAGGCAAGCAGGAGGATGTGCACCATCGCCGGGAAAAATGCAGCAGGTTATTAAAAATTCCATTTTTCGAAAGGATCAAGGCAACTGACTTCAGGGCTGGAAAAATATTTTTAGGTAAGCGATTAAATTTGGCGCCGTCTTGTGGAAAATTTAATTGATTTTCAATGAGAGATAATAATCCGTCACTTAAATGAAATGCAGTTAGTTGAGGAGGGATATTTGAAAACCCCAATCGGATTATTCAGATCAAATTGAAGGCAGATTACGTGAAAATTAAAAAGTGAGTTCTAGAGATTGAATCTAGGATTGTTCCAGAACAATTCTGTTTTCATCCCTTATTTCCAAGACTGCATTTACGACGATGTAAGAAATATGTTGAATGATGGATAGGCTGACATGTTGGAGATAGAAAGTTGTATTCAAGTTCTAGAAGGAAAAATACCAAGTATCGAGAAATTAGGCCAACTTTAGATTGATTTTCAAGAATCAATCTTGTTACTGGTTTTCACTGGATTGAAATTTTAGCTGAATCAGCTTCTAATCTTTCTCTTTTCACCCTGTAGGTAAGTTTTAGCATTTTCCCATCTAAAGAATTAAGATTGGAATTAAATTCAAGATAAGGAAGTAGTCCAGAAAATTGATTGGCAATTCAATCCCCCGAAGGCATCATGATGGGAAGAATGGTTGGGACGTTTGATCAGACTAACTAGGGATTTGCTGAAGGAGGTCCTGGGAAAATCGTATGTGTCTCTAGAAGAGTTAATCACTGTTCTCTGTGAATGTGAATCTGTAATAAACTCAAGACCGCTAACCTATATTTCTGAAGACAGTCCTGACTTCACGACACTGACATCCAGAATGTTTTTTCAAGAAATTACCTGATCCTTGATGTAATTTGCTTGGCCTATATGCCCTATGACTCAACAGATGATCCCTAACACGGGGTGGAGTACTGTAACTCACTGGGCCTTCCTTTGATTGTCGCATACGATGCCAACGCATACCACATGGTGTGGGGCAGCACAAACACGAACCGGAGAGGACTCAGTCTTCTGGAGTACCTTCACACCACGGATTTAGAAATCTTGAGCCGTGGCAGCGCACCGACCTTTGTCACTTCGCGTAGACAAGAGATGATAGACTTGACATTGGACTCACTTTCTATGGCACCGATGATAAGCAAATGGACAATTTCTGACGAACCGTCCCTATCGAATCACAGACACATCCTATTCAGCTTGGACCTTGGTCACAAGGCTGGGCCTAGTAAGTTCAGGAACCCCTGAAACACGACCTGGAACCAATACGTTGAGATCCTAAGGGCTAGAGCTGGGGTCACTGAGGCTTCCCTCCGGTAATTGTAGCGCTACCGCAAAGGTTGGCTCACTTTCCGGGCTCTGAAATCCTGTAAACTGGTGAACTATCAATGCACGCTCCAAAAGCTAGCGCAAGGCCAGCTGAATGAGCCATTCACTAATTTGGAACTTTTGAGAGTGCGGGACCAGATGGAATCAGTAGATATACAAAGAGAGTTCTAGACCGGAAGTGGCCCCATTTTCGTTCTGGGGCCCGCGTCCGTCATCGGAGAAGCCCCAAATTGAAGGAGCCTAACCCAGGTGGACCTGTGCCCCATTTTTTTTCGTGGGCTCCATTTTTTGGTAAGCCCCATTTTGAAGAGGCCTAACACAAGTGACGTCAGCAAAGGGGCCACATGCGTGTCCCTGCTGCTAGACCCGTGGCCCCATTTACATGAACTCATAACCTAAAATGTGATACCCCATACAAGATGACAGATACGTGCGACGTTGTCGAAACTAATAATGTGCGACGTTGCCAATAAAATGTCCCTAAATCTAGGAAGGGGCCCCTTGTTTTCGCTGCTAGACCTGCGGCCCCATTATCTATATATATAAACGTGAAATGCACTCACTCACTCACTCACTGACTGATTAAACACGAAATCTCGAAAACTACTAAACCAATCGAGATGAAATTTTGCAAACAGGTAGGTAATAGGTTGGAGATGCTCACTAAGAAATAATATCAACATGGCCTTAAGCAATCGCCTTAAATAACCAAAAATAAGAAACGGCGTGGTGCGGGAGTGCGGGGAAAAAAGTGTAAACAGAAACAGACAACGTGTCAGCTGTCAAATTCAGAAATATGACAAGCAGAATCAAATTCATAGCGATTTCCATTTGCAGAATCAGTGCAAAAAAAAAAATATGTGTTTTTGTCGTTATATTTTCATGCTTTCACCAGAAACGATTCGGAACCGATTCTGAACAAATTCCACCGGTCCCAGGCTAAGCTAACTTCAAGTTTGAGACATGACATTCGCAATTCGTTCACGTATTCGACAGTCTGGAGCAAGGATCTGGAGTTTTTGTTCGGTTCCAAAACTGTTCGCGATAAAATAGGAACCTGAACCCATTCACAAGTTGGGTTCGGGTTACTCCTCGCACTCCAGCCGTTATCTGATAAGCTAAAAGGTAATACCCGAACGGCTGAAGTGCGAACGGAATCACTCGGATTGCACGGAGTGAGCAAGCCGAACCCAGCTATAACTGGGCATGCGCTCTACGATAGTCCTCAATTAGTTCCGGACTGGTTCGGAATCGGTTCAAAATATGATCCGCGAACAGAGCTATTAGCAGCGAGTGGCACTTCAAAAAAATTTAACGTCAGCTGTCAAAAAAATGTTGAGAGCTGTCATTCGACCGGAAATGGTTGCCATAGGGTCGTTCCGCCCGCTTACTAATACAAGCTACAACCACTTTAACTCGGTGCATAGCAAATAATAGAAATTTTCTAGCGATTTTGCAGGTTCCCGACAAGGGCAAACATTGAAGGTAGCTGGTATCGACCTAAGAAATGATTGCTTTTCTTATGGACAGTTATACGTGGCATGTTCAAGAGTCAGTTCGTCCGATAGTCTTCATATTCTGCAGCCACAAAGCAGAACAAAAAATGTGGTTTACAGAGAGGTGCTGCAAAAATAAGAGTTACATGACCATATGTCTGACGCAACTATCCCCTTAGCTCTTTGAAAGAAGATAACCTAATGCTACCTACACCCTACACCTACAAAAAGGGCGTGCGAAGCCGCGGGTAACAGCTAGTCCGTATATGAAACCAATATAACCTAGAACTCATAACCTGAAATTTGATACCCCGTATCTAGTGCTGGTAACGTGTAATTTGTACCACGTACCTGGAACTGGAAACCTGAAATTTGGTACCCTATAACTCGTGACTTGTAACAAGATACATCGATCCATTTTTCGTGGATCCCCATTTTTCTAAACTAAAATCTGGCCACGATCAGACAATAATTCATGTCTCGTTACCTACCAATTATTTCAATGCGACATCATCATTCGAAATTTCGTTTCACGCCGAGATCCAAACCATAGAAATGCGGGGTCCCATTTTTCGGCAAACCCCAAATATTATTTTTAAATAATAATAATTTCTGCTGCTGATAACAAGTTTTGCGAACTTGCTTAATTTATTCGAAACCCTGTTATCTCAATAACAAAAACCACATTTCCTGGCGATAATACATGTTGTTCTTCATTCATTCAAAGTCTAGTTAGTTATTCCAGCGTCCTTAAGTGACACAACGTTTTTTCCGGCTCTTTACAGAAGAGGCTGGAATTAGTGACTTCGCACCTAATACGCATCTTTAGGGCCTACCTCGCATATGGTCAAGTACCACATTGTTCAAGTTGTATTTATCTCCTATAACTACGAATCGGCTAAGGATTACAGACCCATCAGTCTATCCTCGTTTCTTCTAAACACGCTGGAGAAACTGGTGGACACATTCATGCATGGGCATTGTTTTCAATGCCCCTTGCATCCTAATCAACATACCTACAGGACTGCCATGTCAACTGAGACGGCTCTCCACAGTCTTCTAGTAAGGCTGGAACGAGGGATGTCTCATGGGTGTATTTCTAGACATCGAAGGGGCATTTCATGACACCTCATTCGACTCTATGAGAAATACTGCAAAAAGCTTTAGCATACAGAACACCATTGTCAAATGGATCGTTGTCATGCTGGAAAGCAGAATTATTACAAGGTCGATTGGTAGTGCAAAGATCAGCTCAACTGAGGTTGCCCGCAGGAGGGTGTATATTGTCGCCTTTGCGTGGTGCCTGGTACTGGATGGACTACTCTTAGAAAGGTATGTACACTCAAGATTACGCAGACGATCTTGTCATCGTTATGGCAGGTAGGGTACCCAGCACCATTGAAGGGATCATGCAAAGAACTCTTAACATGGTAGAAAGATGGTGTAAAAATCACGGGCACTCGGTGAATCCGGACAAGACCTGATGCAATGGATACAATCCGAAAAAACGTGGATCTAGAAGGGCTGACGCTCTTTGGATCGAGATTTGTTTCATCCGGTATGGTCAAATATCTAGGAGTCATCCTTAACTTCAGGCTGACCTTGAAAGATCACGTCAACAGGGTCGTCCAGAAAGCCACTGCTAGCCTTTGGGTCTGTAGAAGATCCATCGGATGCACCTCTGGAGCTTACAATCCCACATAGTCCACTGGTTTTACACAGCAATGATAAGGCCAATGTTCATGTACGGCAGCTTAGTTTGGTGGAGCGCGCTTATCAAATCCACTTGCAGAGAAAAACTGGACAAGCTCCAACGCATTGCTGCAATTAGAGCCTTTAAAACCACCCCTACGTTGGCAATAGAGGTCATACTGGGTATAATGCCTCTCTATCTCTTTGTGGAGGCACGGGCCCGGGAGGCCTCTGTTAGAGTCAACGATTGGAAACAATGGGGTCACAGAGGGCTGAGTATGGGACATGCAAGGGTCTGACACCATCAGGCAGGACTTCCTTCTCACCAGAAGGGATGCAATGCCAAAAACTTTCCCTCCTAGACAATACAAGGTCGTCATCTCTGCAAGGGACGACTGCCTAGAGCCTGATCCGGGCTTTCTCAAGCCGAAAGGGCTTATCTGGTACACAGACGGTTCTCTGACGTGAAAGGGTGCAGGGGCTGGTGTATATGCGAAGTGACCTGTGGCGAGAATAGGTCTTGAAATTAGTCAATTCCCAACGGTATAGGTACCAGACTGAGATCTACGCCATACAGGCATGTGCTCAGGTGAATCTCCAGAGACCAGAGAGGTTACTTGCGTAAGCATATTTATATATGCAGCGACAGCCAGGCAGCACTCCGAGCCCTTAGCTCACATAAGATCAATTCGAGGCTCACGTTTGACTGTATAACAACCCTCAAGCTACTCAGTGGGTTCAATAAGGTCACCCTTGTTTGGGTCCCGGGTAACAGAGGCATAAAAGGCAACGAGGAGGCAGATCAGCTGGCTCGTGAAGGTAGGGGGTTGCTTCCTACCTGGTAAAAGCCAAGTTCCTGGTCCAGCGGTTCCTGGTCCAACAACCGGTACGAATGGCTGGAACAGGAAAGCTTCAGACAGTCAAGGCTCTTTATACAAGGTCTTTCAAACTGCAAAGAGGCAAAAAGCCTGCTAAAACTGAACAGGAGCCAACTAAAAGCCATCATAGGCGTCCTAACGGGACATTGGGTGGTCAGATACCACCTACACAAAATCGGACTCAGAAATGAGACGGAATGTAGGTTCTGTAGCGAAGTAGCATATAGTTTACGAATGTGACGCCCTAGTCAGTCGCAGACGGGTACAGTTTCCTGGAACCTGAGAAAATAAAGCCTGTCGGGACTGAGCGGGTTAAGCGTAGGCTTATTGTAGATGTTCCTTAGTGCAAAATCAGCTTCCAAAACCACTGTGTGACAACAGCTTTAAAACTCTTCTCCTAAATCAGCTTGTAAAATATCTTTCAGTGTGTCAAAACAGGCAATAGCTGTCCCTATTGTTCACTTTATAAAGTTCCATCAAATTAAAGTTAACTGTAGGCGATTTCGGTTGATCCTCCGCGAGATGATTGGCAGAAGCGCATGTGATCTTGAATTAAAGTTTCAAAACTGATCACGTGGGACTGCGTTCCTCTACCATTTAATCCAAGGTTCAAACTAAAGAAAAATAAATATTATAATACTCAAAATGATTCATCTATTATTCCCTCAATAATTTGTATTGCGATCACAAATAGAAAATCCCTATTTGCAATGACCTAATAAATCTATATCAAATATCGAGTCAAAATATGCAATATCCGATACTCTTGCCCCAGTTACAATAAACAATTGTTGAATAATCGCCTTATAGAATCGGACGGTTATTTAGTAGTCCGAGCGGCCTTAGAGGTCACCGAAAATATCAATTTATAGCTCCGGAAGTAGCCGATAGCGTTCCCGGACTCCTTCCGGGAGTTAACAATTCAATCAGGGGATTGTTTCGCTATAATAAACTTCCGATAGGAAGCCGATTCGCTTTTGTTAGGTTTTTCAAAAGCGCGGTTGCCATTTGAAAAAGCCAATTGCAGCTCCTTCGATTTGACTGATTTATTGGACGTAACTACTAAACGGTTCGAACTTTTCTAATCTTCGTCTATTAGACTCTGGAGGACGGAATTGAGTTTTCTCTTATAAAAAAAAAACTTTCGCCAGAGAAAAGTTTATGGAGCCGGGTTAATGCATATGACAAGTTCTTTAAGTTTTAAAATGTGACTTTCGTGCTTCGATTGCAATATTATTTTCCTCGTATAAAAGATGAGACTCTCGGAAACGAGGTTATGTTAACTGATATTCAAATATCCCCTGTCGATAATAACGAGAGCCGTGGAAGTTGATTTATTACCGGAGGAATGAGACGAACATGATTTATTTGCCTGAACGTTCTAGAGGGCGCGCCAGAGGGATTTATGATTATAGGAAAAGAGCACATTTTATGCAATCACGAATTTTCTATTTGAATATTGACTTAATGAGGGGCAATCGTTATATAGAATACTCTTGTTAAGAATTTGTCGGACAAATTAGGAAACTCTTTGATTTTATCGACTCGAGACGGACAGAAATGAAACAAAAATGTTTTAGATGTGTTGCTACTTTGTTGCGAACATTAAGATGTTCAGAAATATCCTCTATCGGGGACTGACATATTCGAGCAAATCTTTGAGTCATAACATTACCCTGGTAAATTAGATGGATGAGGCCATCTGGCGTAGAAAACCAAATCCATATCCGGAACAAAACATAACCCTAATTTTTAACCTGTTTCCCCTCTGAAATTTGCGCGCGTGTACGTTCCCATAAATCCTGCCGCCGCTCGTTATGAGCGGCCATATTTCACCGGTCCGAACCCTCTCTCTTGGCAAAGTGCAAAATTATTATTTGCGCAATTAATCCTCGGCGTGTTGAAATCCCGTAAATTCTAGTTTTTGTGTATACTTACGTTTCGGAAATCTATCAGTTGCGTCACCAGCGTACCGTCCGACCGTTGAAATTCTAACGTTATCGTGTCGTCGCTGGCGTTTGCGTAGATCGTCTCTTGTACAACATCACCACCCTGGAAATTTCAAGATTTAAAATTACCCTTAACATTGTGTCAAACAAAACAATAATAAAGAGACATCAAAAGAAAAATATTTTAATCATTCACCCCTGCGGTCCTTGAAATGAGCTTATATAATGTTCAAAAGCAGAGGTATTTCTTCTTTTTGCTGAATACAAAAGGGCTTCTGAGTCGGGGGTCTTTAAAAAAACATGAAAGGTTGGCCTACGTAAAAGGGAATGTCGGTTTTTCTTATTTGCCATTCAATAAAAATCATATTTTTGTTTGTTTTGTGAAAATATAAAACGTAGGTAATAAATCATAATATTTTGTGTACACTTCTTTTCCAACGAAATATAAGTAGAAGAGTATTCACGAAAACGTGTGTAATCCATCGAAAATGAAGTTATGCCAGTGACATCAGAAACAAGGTAAGGTATAGTATATGTAGAGATCAGTATACCAAAACCAGTAGAATGAGCTTTCATGCTGCCGTACCATTACAATTTTAAGTAACCGCAAAATCGACTACTATGTAATTATGTTCAAACTTGACCATCGACAAGTAAATGGCCCGTGTTGGCAACGTTGTAACATAATATAATTCGGTTCCTACATAGTTTAGCAACCGAAAAGGCCTCCCTCGAAAATGTAGGGTTAGAGCCACATAATTTATTCTGGAAAGGCGAACCGCAGGCAGAAAGTGCGGCCTTTTGCGGTATCTTGTATTTGCGCTCGGGGACTAACGGCACTATAGTGAAACCCATATAATAAATTAGTTTAGTTTAAGCTTCGTTCTAAACCGGCTTCCTTATACGCGGAGCTTTTAAATAGCCGCTTAGACCGGGTGTGTGTTTCCTCTCGATATAAACAAAACTAGAGCAAATCCTTGTCAGAGGGTAATATTATCTGGATTTCAGAAGCGAGGAAAACAAAAAAGATCCGTGAAATGTCAGCCGCTAAACAAGTAAGGATACGTTCGGCCCTCGGGTGACACGCTATAAGACGCCAATAAGTTCTCTTGTTACATTGATCCCCCAAGCACTGGTTTATGTCGTAGATTGGGGGGTGACTTTACTATGGTTAACGGTAACGATATATTTTTAAAACTTTGTGGATAATTTCTCGCAAGAATACATAACATTGGGATTCTTTATCTTTAGATAGCGGTTAACAGTTGATTCATAGAACTACTTCAACATTAACAACTGTATGTTTGTACTAGTTGCTGTCAATAGGTCTGTTCTAAAAGAAATCTCAAACCGTAGTGAAAATAGTCAAAATCAAAAACGCTCTAATTGGTTTGTGATTTGTGAACAGTAACGAATTGGCTTCTCATATCTCGTTTCCTTTATTTCTATATTTCTTCCTGCATATTATATTTAAATTGTGCTCTTGCATTTTGGTTTCATGTAATTGAACCTCACATCTTGATGGTAAATGTTCCATCGTATCCTCTCCAGTGATGACAAATTATAAGAACATTTTTGAGTAAAAGAATTTCAAAGTTAAAATTTATGTGCGATAGGTCCCGAATCGAAATCGAGCCGTCAAAGGCGTCTATTACGATATATCAAGAAGGTTTTTCTCCGAGAAAATAAATGGGTTTCAAATGTCATTTTATTACGATAGTAAATCTCGTGTCCGAGTGAAATAAGCCAATTTTCATAAGCTTTCACGGGAATAATTGCCTTAGAAGCCTTTTATGAACACTGGGATGGATTAAAACTACGACATAGATGCATTATTCACAAAGATAGAGCGTTAAATATTAAATATAGGTACCTACATTCACCGGATCGCTCTATTTCCCGATAGAGCTTCTATAAATTATTCATTGGGCCGTGTGTAAAAACAAAATGGCAGCCGCGTCTTGGGCAGGCTAAAAACTCTCTCTCAAAATGGTTAAATAAAAGCGAAATTTTAAAGTTCGCGTGTGTTGATTTTCGCTCGTGCTCCAAAACACGAGTGTTGCAGGATTAAATTATTGCCCTTTACTCGTTTACTAGCACTCCAAACTGGCGTAATTTGTGTTTTAATTTAGCATTTGTGCTGTAAGCTTGTAATAATTTTACTATGGTTTGAGTATTGATCCAATAGAACAAAACGGTATCGCGTTTTTTTTTTTTTTGCTGTTGTCAACGAGTTTTTATCAAGTTCAACCAACCAGGACTAGATATTGATGTTTTAACTAATTGGAAATTAACGAAAACTCGTTACAGTGATATTTTTATCAAGTATATACCAATCAGTTTTCATTTTACAGGGTGTCCTTAGATAAACTAAACAAAACTTAATAGAAATTGTATTGAATTCATGTGTAGTGTATTAATTGTTGTTATTAAGACTTCTGTCACCGTTGACCATCGTTTGTGCAGAGATCACAGAACCTTACACTACCCAGTGTCACATTGGCGCCCAACGTGGGGCCTCTCGAAAAGACTGTGACCCCAGACATCAAATCGATACTGTGTTTCGTCCAATCGGTTCGATTTAATCATTTTAAAGTGTTTCTTCATGATTATGTAAGTGTTGCCTGTGAGCCAATCCAGTTTTGCATGTGATCCGATATCATGAATTAAAATCATACGTGTCCTGCCTCATACGAGTCCTGCCACATCCGAGTTCAACTATATGATTTTACGTAGTGGAGAAATTGTACCAAATAATTCAAAATTAGACAAGATGACTGATAATAACGACGAACCCCCTATTGTTGTATTGACGTCAGAGATGCTGCAATCTTTACTAACTGGAATACAGAATGTTCATTTAAGTCAGCCTACTCAACAACCAAGTGTAAATGTGTAGTAATATCGAAAATTGTTGCGAAGCACTCCAAATGATAAAATTCCACCAATGAATAATCGTCAACCTACTGCAACACAAAATAGTAAGCCGAATACGGTTGTGGAACACCAGGTTATGTAAGTGCTCCAAACATCCAGTTACTCCAACGGATCCTACCAGAACCGCAACGTTTGCAGAGTTCCTCAGTACTTACTTGGTACAATCTGGTCAAATGGGCTCAGATGATTTTACTCGCATGTGTTACTATTCAAGAACATAATGGTCTCACATACTTTGATTCCGGTGCTCAGTCAAGCATAGCCGGTTCCCTATTGAATAAAATTTTATACGACGAGCATGTTGCTTATGAACAAAGACAGTTAAACATGACTTTAGCATCAGATGGTTAAACTACTCAAGTGAATGCTTATGTATTTTGTGTCAGAATCGCAATGGAGGGCAGAGTTCATCACACCGCACTCTTTTCCATTCCTGAACATATTAACAGTAGGACCCTTCTAGGTGCTGATTTTCTGAAATCTGCCAATAAAGCGCTGGATATACCGAATGACTCATGGTCAAAAACTCGAGTTTGCTTGTGACCCATCAGTCAACAACTTTGAATGCACAAGAATTGACACTAGCCATATGGACTTGTCTGAACAGTTGATGTCACTACGTGCAGATAAAGAACTTCCAATGCAGATTTGTTCCAATCAAGTTCTGAACTGTCACCATTCTATTGATTTAATCGACGATATTCCAGTGGGTGTTCCACCATACCGTATGTCAGAAACCAAAAAGCTAGAATCAAAAAAAACAAATTGATGAGTTGCTGGCACAGGAAATTATTGAAGAGTGTGAATCTCCTTATGCTGCGCCTGTGGTGCTGGTTCCGAACAATGATGGAGGAATAAGGCTGAGGGTGGACTACCGCAAGGTAAATGCCAAAACACTCCTATTGCTTAGGATCGATAATACCCTTCATGTAGCCAAGAGAACTCAGTACATGACAACTTCAGAGTTGAGATCCGGTTATCACCCAGATAACTGTTAAGCCTTGTGATAGAGACAAAACCACATTCACATGTCCTTTTGGGACGTTTCATTACACACGAATACCGTTCGGCTTACGAAATGCACCCTCGATTTTCCAAAGGCTGATTGACAGATTCCGTTCTGGCCTTCAGGATCTGAACATACTTGCATATCTTGGTGATCTGATAATTCTGTCAGAATCGTTCGAATCCCATGTGAAGCATCTACAGCAAGTATTTGACCATCTACGAATGTTCAAACTCGAACTTAAAGGATGGAAGTGTAACTATACCTACTTTGGACGAATGAAAATAAAACCTTAAATCATTGATAGGTTTTTAAGGGTGATGCAATGGTTCGTTTAAGAAAAACTGCTTTGAAATTTTAAATGGAAAAACCGCACTCTTTCACGTCGGAGAGGTCGAGCACCAAAAAAAAAAAAATCTAATTAAATTTCAATTTAAATTTTAAAATTCTTAATTTGAGCCGGGGCAAAGCCGGAGAACAAAAAAAAAATGAAAACCCGTCCGCTCGTTATTTCTTTCGGGTTAATTAGTGCCCGAGCCTTAGAAAACGAACAAAAGCTTGCGATTTTTTTTGGAAAAATAATTTCGAATTAATTAAGCTGCCATGGGCGTGGGCCTTTATATCCGCCCCCATCAAAATAAACAAAAATCTAATAAGATTCGGTTTAATGAGCTCCGAAATGTAGAACAAACAAATTTTCGGTATTAGACTCTGATAGTCATCAGATTTTGGTAGGTGGGTGCGGGAAGGAGAATTGGCACAAAAGATAATTAGAAGTTTCTCTTTGCTCTCTTTGTAGAGCGAATATTTGAGGGATTTTGCAATCTATGCTAAGTGATTTTTGGGTTTACTTTAGAAATTACGCTTAGATATCGCATTGTCGAGTTGACTTTACACACTTTTTATTGTAAAGTAGGTACCTACCCCATGAAAAATTAAAATTTTCAATTGCTAATTTTTTCCACATTTTCTATTGGAAGAGAAGGTTAAAGTTCTTTGGAAATAAATTTTACATTATTTCGGAAAGGGTAGTTAATTGATGAAAAAAATCGAATAGAAAATATCAATTTTGACCTCAGAAAGTTTCCTATAGTGAAAAATTAAACTTTTCAATTTTTAATTTTTTTCAAATTTTCACATTTTCTATTGAAAGAGAAGGT